AGAACAAAAGTCTTTAAAAACAATACAGCAGATCAATATACATTAGAATGTAAAATTCAAGCTTAGGCTGGGCACTTGTGGCTCGTGACTATAATCCTAAGCTACTCAAGAGGCTGAGATCAGAGGGTCAGTGTTGGAAGCCAGTCCGAGCAGGAAATTCTGTGGGACTTATCTTCAATTAACTACCAAGGGCTTGAAATGGAGCTGTGGCTCAAAGTGGTATAGCCCTAGCCTTGAGCATGAAAGCTTGAGAACCCAGGCCCTGAGTTCACACCCCAGGACTGGCACAAAAGAGAATTTTGTCCACCTGAGTACTGGTAGATTAGAGGATTGAGACTCACTACAGGCCAGCATAAGCAGAAAAATCCATGTGACTCTTATCTCCAATTAACTAACAAAACTCCTCCACACAAATGGAGGTGTAGCTCAAGTGGTAGAGTGCCAGTCTTGAGCAAAAGGCCAAATGAGCCCCAGTACCAGCAGCCAAAAAAAAAAGCGAGAAAAAAACAGACCAGATAATTTGTGACACAGTTCATAGTTTGCTAAACTCTGACCAAGATCATTGTCTTATTTCCTTTTGTGCAAAGCATGTGACCCTAAATGAGCTGAAAGGCATCTGTGTCCATTCCTAGCAGGCCAGTTGAAAACAACCTGAGGAAACTAGTCCTAGATACTTGTGCTTGCAGCTCCCTGAATGTTTTTTTCTTCAGTCGTGGGGCTTGAACTCGGGCTGGGCGCTGTCCCTGTGCTCTTCAGCTCAAGGTGAACACTCTATCGCTTGAGCCACAGCTCCACTTCCAGTTTTCTAGTGGTTTATTGGAGCTGAGAGTCTCACAGATGTTCTTACCTGGGCTGGCTTTGAACCGCGATCCTCAGATCTCAGCCTCCTGAGTAGCTAGGATTATAGGCGTGAGCCACCAGCGCCTGGCAGCTCCTTGAATTTTTGTGTCACTTCTTTCTCACCTGGGGCAAGCAAATTTGTAACACAGATTGCAAATTCCTGCTTCTGGTATCCTTATGCCAATTAGTGAGGCCAGCATGGTGCTCTGATGAAGGAAAGATGATCAAGGACCTGCCTTCCAAATTTTATTTTATTTTATTTTATTTTATTTGTGAACATACTGTACAGAGGGGTTACAATTACATGGGCAGGATAATGCGTACATTTCTTACCAAGCATTGCAGCCTCCTCCTTTGGTTTACCCTTCACATCCCTTCCCAGCCTCCCCCCTCCCCCCCAATCCCAATCCTTCTCCTTCCCCCCCCCGCCCCCCCCTGCACCGACGCTGCCTTCCAAATTAAGGCAGAGGCCCAAAGTTGACATATCCCCAAGGCAAAATGTTCAAAGTCTTTCTTGACTGGGTGCTTGCTCTAAGAAAACAAATGGATTGTGTTATCTGCTATTCAAAAAAATGAAGGAAATTTACCCATCCCCACAACTGCTGTGACCCACTCTGTAAGGAGGTCACCTGGAATATAACAATATAACAGCTGTGATTGACTGAGTTCTCCTGATCAGACTGACTATGCCCAAGGTGCTCCCAGGGAACTTCCACATCAGCCAAGCAGAAGAACGAGATGGAGGTAGTGGCATGTGGCCCAAGCACTTGGTAGAGGAATTGGCTCACTGAATGGCAGCTGGGAAATCAAACAGTCTTGTTGCGTACCAGTGGCTCAGGCCTGTAGTACTAGCTACTTAGGAGGTGGAAACTGAAGATTGAGGTTTAAAGCTAGCCAGAGCAGGGAAGTTCAGGAGATTTATCTCCAATTAACCACTTAAAGGCCAGAAGAGACAACACCCAGGCCCTGAGTTCAAGCCCCAGGACCAGCACCCAGAAAGACACACACACACACACACACACACACACACACACACACATCTCCCAAATCCATGAAGCTATGTACTCATCAATAGGTTGTTAATTCATTAAGTAATCAGATTTGTACAGGGGGAGCTCTAGAGTGCCCCCTGCCCACTGAAAACTGGTGCATTAGGGATCAAGCCTTCAATGCATGAATTTTGGAGGATATTTAAGATCTAAACTATAAGACAGAATGAGGGCTGGGCACTGGTAGCTCACACCTATAATCCTACCTACTCAGGAGGCTGAGATCTAAGGATTATAGTTGTTTTTGTTTGTTTGTTTGTTTTTCTGGTTGGGGGGTTGAGGGGGCTTAAACTCTGGGCCTGGGGGCTGTCCCTGAGCTCTTCAGCTCAAGGCTAGCACTCTACCATTTGAGCCACAGTGCCACTTCCGGCTTTTTTTTCCCGGCTTACGTGGTGCTGAGGAATCGAACCCAGGGCCTCATGCATGCAAAGCAAGTGCTCTACCACTGAGCCACCTTCCCAGCCCCTAAAATTCTTATGTAGAAAAAATACTAAGAAATCGCTGAAAGCAAAGCACAATTAATACATAAGACAAACAAGGTGTCAAGACCCAAAATAAATGTACAAAATCAATTGTTTTTTCTACAGTAAGCAAACCAAAAAAAGACCTTAAGGAAATAAGTTCACTTATAATGGCATCAACTATAATAAATATCCAGGAATAAGCTAGGTGCTGGTGACTCCTGCCTGTAATCCTAGCTACTCAGGAGGCTGAGATCTGATGATGGTTGTTGGAAATGAGCCCAGGAAGGGAAGTCCATGACACTTACCTCCAATAACCAGCAAAAAGCTGGAAGTGGAGCTGGGGGTCAAGTGGTAAATCACTAGCCTTGAGAAAAAAAAGCTCAGGAACAGCACCCAGGCCCAGAATTCACACCCTAGGGCTGGAACACACACATACACATACACACACACACACACACACACACACACACCTTCCACTTCAGAGAGGAAGAATTAAAATGATCTCAATTTGCATAATATGATCTTATAAGAAGGAAATACTAAGAATCAACAAAACCAAACCATAATTTGTAAGTTTAGCATAGTGGTAAGACCCAAGATTCTACAGTAAGGAAACAAAATATGAAATTAAGAAAAATCCACTTATAGTATCAACTGTAATAAATATCTGGGAATAAATGGGCCACTGATGGCTCACCCATATAATCTTACCTACTCAGGAGGCTAAAATCTGAGGATCAAGGTTTGAAAGTAGCCTGGGCAGGGAAGTCCATGAGAACCCAGTTAACTATCAAATTGGTCAGAAGTAGGGCTGGGAAGGTGGCTCAGTGGTAGAGTGTTTGCCTTGCATCTCACGAAGCCCTGGGTTCGATTCCTCAGCACCACATAAACATAAAAAGCTGGAAGTGGTGCTGTGACTCAAATGGTGGAGCGCTAGCCTTGAGGTGAGGGACATTGCTCAGGACCAGAGTTGGAGCCCCATCACCAAGAAAATAATGGTCAGAAGTGGAGCTGTGGCTCAAGTGGTAAAAGTGCTGCCTTGAGCAATAAGCTTAGAACAGTGCCCTTTCCCTGAATTCAAGCCCAAGGACCAGAAAAATGATGATGATGATGACACAGTTTTTAAAATCACAATATTCTTGTAGGCTTCAATTGAGTAATTCCTTTTCCCCCCTTAATCTTGTTCATCATGACTTTATTCAAAATTTAATATTCTCTCCAAATTGCTTCCACTTACAAAATTGTATGCAGCTCAGGATTAGACCTTAATTGGTGAATTCAAGATGGAAGTGTTTAAAGGAAGACAGTGTCTTTTTTGTGGTGCTTTGGATCAAATACTGAGCTTTAAGTGCATTAAGCAAGCACGCTACCTGTTAGCTATATCCCCACACCAGAAAATGCCATTTATCTGACTATCCTTTCTGGCTAGTGGTAAGTCTGGAAACTATCAGACTTCCTTTTCATTAAGTATTAAAATGTTATGGTGAAAAAGCCTGATGTGAGAAATACATTTTCTTTGTAGGTCTGCAGTTTGAACTCAGATCATTATGCTTGCTAGGCTGGTGCTCTACCACTTGAGCCAAACTTTCAGTGTGCTTTTTTGCTGTTTAATTTGGATGTGGAGCTGTTGAACTGTTGAACTGCTGGACAGCTCTTGAACTGTTCTCCTCAGGCTGCTATCAAACCGTGATTCTGTGGATCTCAGCTTTCCCCATAGCTAGGGTTTCAAGCTTGAGTGACTGCGGCCCAGCAGGAACACAGGTTTGAAAGAAGCATTCTGAAAGAACCATGCTGAGTTAAAGTTTACACTCACAGATAACCCTTAGGGTTTGGCAGTTTTACTTATTGACAGCCTTACTTTTTGAATTAGCTTCATTTGCATGTATACAGGCAAACTAGTGCTTTTTGTGTATTTTACTACTTAGCAGTCTGATAGCTGTTGTTTGTGTGATTTCCCAGCAAGACTTCCTAAAGATTGAGGTTTGATCCCCTTTCATACAAATGAGCTATAGATGAACAATTTTTATCCAAATAGTAAATACTGCATAGAGAGAGTGGAAATTTTAGAGAATACTGACAATAGACAATCTCATGCTCTTAAAAAGATGGTACAACTAATACATAGGCTATAAAAAATGGTGAAATCATTTATAAGATATATACGGTGCCCAGAAATAGCATTGTTGGTGGTACAAGATGAAATGAAAAAATCAAATGCCTGAAGTTCAGAAAAGCATTATGTAGTAAACAGAACAGAAACTATCCATGACGGATATGACAAAGAGGCAGAAATATGTGTGTAAATTCTGCCACTGGTAATTTATGTAACTTCTTCAGAAGTCACATGCTATACGTCAATATCCTCCTTCCCTCTCTCCTTTCCCGTGAGGGGTTTCTTTAGGCTTGGAGCCTCAGGGGCAGTAACCGTTTCCAATGCCCAAGCGGGACAGGAGGTCGCTTCCTCTGTAATTACAAGGAGTCACTAGACCGGTTTGTTCCCGGACTAGTCACAGCGGACACTCCACAGGTAGACATCAGGAGATGGTTGGGCGTGGTTGTCACGAAAATACCGGAAACTCATCTTTCCTTTTCCGGTTGGGGTTCGGTTCCGCAGACCGCGTGCCAACAATGGCAATTTGGGGTGCGGTCTTAGGGAGGCTGAAGGATCAGGTGGAGAAGTGACCTTTAGCGGCCCCCTGCGCTCCTCAGATCTTGGGAGCTTCATTCCCCAAGCATCGCGCGATTTCCGGACGACATAATCTCTCTCCCCCCCCCACCCCCCCGCCCCAGTCTCTTCCGCCCCCCTCTCCCTGCTAGGCTCGGCAGCGGACTTTCGCACAGCAGAACCTCGGGGGAGGCGTGGCGACCTTGTTTGCCGAGCTGACGGAAAGAAAAGTGGCCTCCGTTGAAGCCAGAGTTGACTAAAGGTAATGGAGAAGCTTCTTTTACCTTTAGATTCGCTTAAGGGAAGCCCCGGAAAGAAAATGGCCAGTTACGATCTTTTTATTTTGGGGAGGGGGATTGCTGCTGCGTCTGAGTGAATGGGAACCGAAGGGGGAGGGCGGGGACAGTTCTCAGTACCTGGTGGCGCCCTTGCGAGGCCGCTGATCATGGAGAGCGTGCGTGATCTGTCCGCAGCAAGGCCTACACGCAGTCTTCTCCAGCCACCTCTCTTCCCCAGAAGCATCCTTTTACCTGGTGTAGGAGGATGGAATCCAGCGAGCGATGCTGGAACTCACAACCGACTCACACACAGAGTGCTTAAAAGGATTTTCTGTCGTGTACGTAGACCTTATGGCCATTTAGTGATGGGAACTGAGGCAGTCACATCAACCACTGCCCCAGCAAAACTGACCTATTTCCACGCATTTATGATTATAGTACTGCAGGAAGAACCATTTCTACCTTTAAACACATTGGCTTCTGCTCCCCCTACAAAAAAGCTGGAAAATATCCCCTCGACCTCCTGAGCCACCATTTCTTGGAACACCTTATCATCCTCTGCTAGATCATTCTACTACATCATCTTTTTGAAAAATTAAGGGAGGTCAAGGTTATGCCCAGCCTTCCTTGACAATACACATTTGATCATATCCTGAGAAAAAGTACTCAAACCTTTCCTGTCTTAATCATTACCAACTCAATGTCTAGCTTGAAATTTCCATTGTGTGTGTGTGTGTATGTGTGTGTGTGTGTGTGTATGTGTGTGTGTGTGTGTGTTGGTACTGGGATTTAAACTCAGAGCCTGAGCACAGTCCCTTAGCTTTATTGCTCAAAGCCAGGGTACTACTTGAGCCACAGCTCGACTATCATCTTTTTTTTTTTTTTTGGTGATAAATTGGACATGAAAGTCTCAAAGACTTTCCTACCCAGACTGGCTTCAAACTGCATTGTTCAGATCTCAACCACCTGAGTAGCTAGGATTATACGTGTATGCTATTGGCACCCAGCTTCAGTGTCATTTATGTGTATTACAAAGACGTGCATCCCTTGATGATGCAGGGTCATGTGACCTGTTTCCCTAGTGGTAGGACATTTGCTGAGACATTTTTATTTTTCCCCTATTTATGACTAATCTCACTGTCTCAGTTTTCCTCTCATTATTAATACAATGGAAATGAGAATATTAAATGGTCCATGAAACAAAGTTTGTCTTTTTTTTTTTCTGTTAGTCATGGGACTTGAACTCTGGGTCTGGGCGCTGTCCCTCAGCTCCTCAGCTTAAGGCTAGAGCTGTACTACTTGAGCCACAGTACCACTTCCGGTTTTTTGGTGGTTTATTGGAGATAAGAGTCTCATGAACTTTCTTCCCGGGTTGGCTTTGAACTGAGATCCTCAGATCTCACTCAGCCTCCTGAGTAGCTAGGATTACAGGCGTTAGCCACTGGCACCAGGCTAAGTTTGTCTTTTTGAGCCCTGAAACAGAATAGAAACTGTTTTTGCACTAATGACAAAAGACTGAGATGATCTGTTAATTTGTGTGTGTGTGTGTGTGTGTGTGTGTGTGTGTGTGTGTGTGTGTATGCATGTGTATGCGTGCGGGCGAGAGCGAGCTCGTGCCTGCCAGTACTGGGGCTTGAACTCAGGGCATGGCTGCTCTCCTTGAGCTTTTTTTCAAGGCTTTTTTTTGCTCAAGGGCTGAGAACCATGATCCTCAGACTTCTGAGTAGTTAGGATTACAAGTGTGAACTCCCACTTCCAGTAATCTGTTAAAATTTTGAGAAATGCAAAACTAGATATTGTCCAGGAAGCACACAGATTAGGAATTGATTTTTGCCAATTGATTCCTGCTTTCTTTCTCTCTCTTTCTTTCTGTCTTCCTTCCTTCCTTCTTTCTTTCTTGTCGGTCATGGGGCTTGAACTCTGGGCTTGGGCGCTGTCCCTGTGCTCTGCCACTTGAGTCACAGCGGCACTTCCGGTTTTCTAGTGGTTTATTGGAGATAAGAGTTTCACGGAGTTTCCTGTCTGGGCTGGATTTGAACCGAGATCCTCAGATCTCAGCCTCCTGAGTAGCTGGGATTACAGATGTGAACCATGGGTGCCCAGCTCTTTTTTTACAATTCAGTTATGGAGCCTGAGGGGTTTTTTATTTTGGTCAGTCATGAGGCTTGAACTCAATACCTGGGTGATGTCCCTGGGCTCTTTCACTCAAGACTATTGCTCTATCACTTTGAGCCACAGCACCACTTCTGGTTTCCTGATGGTTAATAGAGAAAAGAGTGTCATGGACTTTCCTGCCCCAGCTGGCTTTGAACCTGGATCCTCAGATCTTAGTCTCCTGAATAGCTAGGATTACAGATGTGAGCCACCAGTGCCTAGCCCCTGAAATTTTTTGCTTAAGGCTAGCACTATACCACTTGGAGCCACAGCTCCTCTTCTGCTATTTTTGGTGGTTAGGTGGAGATAATAGTCTCATGGAATTTCCTGCCTAGGCTGGCTTTGAACTATTATCCTCAAATCTCAGCCTCCTGAGTAATTAGAATTATAGGTATAGGCTACCAGTACTAGGTTAGATACATGTTTTCTGACCCACCAGTGTTTCCATTGTTAAATAAAAAAAACCCAGCAGGAACTGTTCAATATTTTCTTTTCTGACCTGTGATTTGTTTCAGTGTTGAGGGAAAACCCCAGAAGAATAGAAATATACCTCATGAAGTAATCTACCATCCTGGGTGTCCTACCACTTGGCTGTTGATTTTAAAGTGGGAGCAAGAGCTTTTCTGTGTATTTTTCTCTGATAGTAAATACCAAATTATGTGTCATATGACTTTCTTCTTGACATGTAGTGTTTTTCTGCTTCCTTTCTCAGTGCACTTACAAGAAGAGCCATTCATTGATTTTGCACCAAACCTGATGGGGCCTCAGTTGTCTAAGGTGGCACCAAAAGGGTGTTGGTGTCACATACAGAAGTAAAACTGTTCCTAGACCAAATGATGATGAGAGAGCTGAAGACAAATGTATGCTTGAGCCCCCGCAGGGGGGCTGTGTGGGAGACTAAGGAATCTGCAGAAGACAACGCCAGTCAGATTAAGAAATCCTGTCCACAAATAGAGAGTCTTCGTCCTGAGAGCGCTCATCATCACTTCCGAAGCTTTTGTTACCATGAAGCAACTGGACCACTAGAGGCTGTCCACCAGCTTCAGGCATTGTGCTATAAGTGGCTGAGACCAGAAAGCCACTCAAAAGAACAGATCTTAGAACTACTGGTGCTAGAGCAGTTCCTGGCCATTCTGCCCAAGGAGACCCAGAACTGGGTGCAGAAGCATCATCCACAGAACATCAGACAGGCTGTGGATCTGGTGGAGCGCTTGCAGAGAGAGCCTGGTGGAAAACAGAATGGGGTGAGCACAAAAATGTTTCTTGCATGTACAATGAGATATACATTTTTTTGATTTGGGGAGGGGAAGGGAAATAACAAAATGCTGAAATAAGGATACAGGTTGACCCATTGTAACAATGAGTTGTACAAGACACTATGTTGAAAATGAACTTTACAGCTTTGGCAGGGGCGGGGCGGGGGATGTGGTAGTTGGGGAGGTAGGGAAGGAAGGGATGGTAGGGGAAAAAGAAAGGAGGGGGGTCACAATGCTCGATAGGATGTGTACTCCTTACTCATGTAACTGTAACCCCTTTGTACAGTATCTTTACAATAAAAAATATATATTAAAAAAAGGAATAGGGCAAAGATGGACATGTCTGGGTTGTAGATTGTAAGGCAATAAGATGGTTTAAATTGCACTTCTTCCTTTAGGTTAGCCAGACAAAATCCAAATCCTAAGGCATTTCACTAAATCTATAGTTTGACCTGTGGCTATGTATACATGCTTCTGGATTTGGAGGCAGTCAAAAGAAGTCACAGTTATTTTGCAGTTTGTCTTAATTTCCCTAGATTCTATATAGAGTTCTTGATGAGAACAGAGTACTTCAGTGTCACAACTTGTGTGTGTATGTGTGTGTGTGTGTGTGTGTGTGTTTAATGTGTGTATGTGATGTGTGCCAGACCTGGGACTTGAACTCATGGCCTACATACTGTCCCCGAGCTTTTTGTTCAAGGCTAGTGCTCTACCACTTGAGGCACAGCTCCACTTCTGGGGTTTTAGTGGCTACCTCATGGACTTTCCTGCCAAGGTTGGCTTTGAACTTTGATCCTCAGATCTCAGCCTCCTGAGTTTTCATTCCTTTAATATGACATTCATCTCCAAATCTGGGCTGTATTCAACTGCTGCCCCAAAGCCCAAACAAGTTTCATGCTAATGAGGATAGGAATTATTTCTAAGTAACAGCCCTTGAGCTGGAAAAGGAGTCAGTGCTCTTGAGAGGAATAGCAATGGCTCCTGGCTGTTCCAGAAAGGGTGTTGAATACATACTAGGTAGTAATAGAACTGTTGGGCTGGCAATATACACAGAGAAACCCATTTTGTATCTAAAAGAGATGAGGAGCAGGGTGCCAGTGGCTCACACCTATAATCCTAGTTACTCAGGATGCTGAGATCTGAGGATCACCGTTTAAAGCCAGCCTGGGCAGAAAAGTCCATGAGACTCTTACCAGAAAACTGGAAGTGGCACTGTGGTTCAAGTGGTAGAGCACTAGCCTTGAACAAAAAAGCTCAGGGACAGTGCCTAGGCACCAGGTCCTAAGTTCATTCCCTAGGACCAGAACGAAAAAAGAGATGAGGAGCTTCATAATTCTCTTCTGGGAGATGTGATAGTAATTACTAGCAGTTGGAATGTCGTAGGAGTTTTTCAGGCACTCACCTCTTTTCCAGGTACCAGTGTAGTAAGTAGCAATAGCCTGACATCCAGGTACTTCCAAACCATAGAACCCCAGTATTCACCCCATATTTTCTATTCCTTAGACATTTCAGAAGAAAGAGGAAGATAGAAGAAAGGACAGGTGGGGTCACCACATCCTTTGGATTTATGGGAGGACTTGATATCAGAAATGGGCAGTTAAATGGCAAAGTGTGACAGGGCACTGCTGGCCCACTCCTGTCATCCTGGCTACTCAGGAGGCTGAGATCTGAGGATTGCAGCTCAAAGCCAGTCTAGGCAGGAAAGTCTATGCATCTCTTATCTCCAGTTAATTAGCAAAAGCCAGAAGTAGAGCTGGGACTCAAGTGGCAGAGCACCAGCCATGAGCAAAAAAGCTAAGGGACAGGAATCAGGCCTTGAGTTCAGGTTCCAGTACAGAGAGACGGGGGTGGGAGAGAGAAAGAGAGATAGAGAGGGGGGATAGAGAGAGGGAAGGAGGGAGAAAGAGAAAGAGAGAAGGGGGGCATTGGTGGCTCAAACCTGTAATCCAAGCTACTCAGGAGGCTGAGAATGAGGATCGTGATTTGAAGCCAGCCTTGGCAAGAAAGTCCAGGAGACACTTATCTCTAATTAACCCCCCAAAAAAGTGAAGATATGGCTCAAGTGGTAGAATGACATCCTTGAGCAAAAAAGCTCAGGGGCAGTGTCCAGGCCCTGAGTTCAAGATCTCTCTCTCTTTATTTTCTCTCTCTTTCTCTCTCTCTCCCTCTCACACACATACGCAGACAAAAGTGTGTAGAATATTGTGCACCAAGGAAAAAGATATTCCCCTGTGGTGCCTTCTGTATACCACAGGAGTTGAGTCCTTCATTTGCAAACAATTCTAATTATTGCCCAGCTCAGTGAACAATTTTATGAAGTTTAAATCTATTCTATAGATTTCCTTTTATTAATCCCCTAGATTTCATGAGATAAATTAATGTGATAAAATAATGAGATAAATTAAGTGATCTGGGGAACTGATTGTGTGTGATAGCTATTGGGTTTCTATTTCACAGGATAGTGCACACATGCTTGTTTAAATGATCCATCTTTTGTTTTTGTTTTTGTTTTTTTGTTGGTCGTCGGGCCTGAATTCTGGGCCTGGATGCTATCCCTCAGCTCTTCAGCTCAAGGCTAGCGCTCTACCACTTGAGCCACAGTGCCACTTCTGGCTTTTTCTGCTTATGTGGTGCTGAGGAATCGAACCCAGGGCCTCAGGCATGCAAGGCAAGCACTGTACCACTGAGCTACCTTTCCAGCCCAAGGTGATCCAGCTTTAGTGAAAGTATCCTAAAGCTGATATTCATAACCAAAAAAAGGAGAGATGTTTTGCTCTTTCTGAGCAGAAAAGGTACAAGACACTAGAAGATGGCAACTGAGTTCATCTTGCCTGAATCCCAGGCAAGCTGTACTTTCACGTTTTTCACACAGCCTTTTGTCTACTTTTACCTGTTGCTAGAATCTAGCAGGAGTACTGGGTGTGGTAACTCCAGATGTTCTCTAAGCAGCTAGGCTTGGCCCAATGGAAACTTGCATCTCACTTCCTACCCCACTAAATCTTCTAGTCTAGTAGTTTATTTATTTTTTTTAACACTCAGCCCACCATGTAATTCAGATATGGTGCTAGGACTGCTTCTGTATTGCCAAGTACTGACCTAAAGTCCATTTTCTTCTTTAGAGTTTGCCGACATTTGAAGATGTGGCTGTGTATTTTACTGAGGATGAATGGCAATTACTAGAACCTTCTCAGAAGAACCTCTACAATGATGTAATGCAGGAAAACTATGAGAATGTCATCTTTCTAGGTAAAGACTTTTTTCCTTCCTTTTATATACAAGCTGAATAATATGTTGAGTCCTTGGTATATGGAAAATGTATCCCTGTGAGAGATACCCTGGGTTGCAGTAGCTGGTTGTTTTCAACTTTATGATGTAGGGAGAAAGAAAGGTATATCTATATCACTTGGGGTATACATACACATCTTCTTTGTGTGTGTGTGTGCTGGTTCTATGGCTTGAACTTAGGACCGGGCACCTTCTGGCTTTTTCACTGCAGGCTGGGGCTCTGCCACTTGAGCCACACAACCCTTTCTGGCTTTTTGGTGGGTTAACGGGAGATATGAGTCTCACAGACTTTTTTTTTTTTTTTTGGCCTGGGCTAGACTCAAACCACATTCCTCAGATCTCAGGCTCTGAAACGTCTAGGCTAACTATGATTCTTAATGTCACAACTTCACTCTGCAAACATGCTCTTGTTAACATCTTTCTCCATCTCTGTACAAAGATGTACCCAACTGCTCAAGATAGACACCTCGCAGTTATCCTTTATCCACTCTTTCTGTTATACTCCACAGACTCTCTATTAGCAGCCCTCCTTGCTCTATCCTTAATCCATGCCTCTCTCTCTATTTTTTGCCATGCAGGAGATGGAATCCCAGAGCTTTGCATATATTAGGCAGGCATTATACCACTGGGCTACATCCCAGTGTCATAATTGATACTCTCTCACCAGCTTAGTTTAGGCAACTTTCATCTTTAACCAAATCTACCTTCAATTAACACTGTTCCTATTTCCCATTTCATTTATATCTGTCTTCCTTAGGTTTAGTTCTTAGCTCATTCTTGCCCGTCCACCCATATCAACAGTAGAATATGAAGAAGACATGGGATCCAAGATCTAGCCACTTAAACTTTTGGAATAAAGTAATATAAAAGTCATTCATTCTTTTTGAAAGAGTCTGAAATTAAGATGGCAGTTTTTGAGCTTAAAGTTTTATTGTCAGAATAGTATTGTACTATAAAGTGATCTATTTAGAACAAGAAAAGTCATAGACCCAAGGTCCCTAAATGTTTGGGGACAACCTTGAAAAGTTTTCTATAAGGACAAATATACATGAATTGAACCTTTGATAAAACTTTTATAGGGACTTGAACATTTTAGTATTTTGCTCATATTCCTTTCTTTTTATTTGTGCAAATCTTGGGGCTTGAACTTAGGGCCTGGACCCTATCCCTAAACTTTTTTTTTCCTCTCAAAGCTAGCACTCTACTGCTGGAGCCACAGCCCAACTTTTGGCTTTTTTTGGTAGTTATTTGGAGATTGTTGTCTTATAGACTTTCCTGCCTGGGCTGGCTTTGAACTGTGATAGATGTTGGCCTCCTCTGAGTAGCTAAGATTACAGGTGTAAGCCACCAGTGCCCAGCACATATTTCTTTTTTTGAGACAAAAATCTCACTATGGAACCCAGGCTACCCTAAAACTTGAGATCCTTCAGTTTGAACCTCTCAAGTGCTGAGATTACAGGCCTGCACAACACACCTTGCTTTTTTATTTTTTTTGTTTTTATTTTTATTTATTTATTTTTCTTTTGTCGGTTGTGGGCCTGAACTCTGGGCCTGGGCACTGTCCCTCAGCTCTTCAGCTCAACGTTAGCCACAGCGCCACTTCCGACTTTTTCTGCTTATGTGGTGCTGAAAAATCGAACCCAGGGCCTCATGCATGCAAGGCAAGCGCTCTACCACTGAGCCACCTTCCCAGCCCACACCTTACTTTTTTAAATTGAACATTTTAAATAGAAATACTTTTGTTAGAGTCACGTGCAGATTTAAAATGTAATTAGTATTGAAAGTGGAGGTAGGGCTCATGTGGTGGAGCCCAAGCCTTCAATGAAAATGTGTAGAGAGAGCACAAGGCCCTGAGTTCAAACCCCAGGACTAGCACAAACAAATGTAATACAAAGAATACCCATGTACACATTACTCATTTTTCTCTAATGATAATTCTTGCAAAAGTATTATGTCATAACCAGAATATTAATGTTGATCTTCCTCCCTGCTGATCTCCCTCAGATTTCTCTGGTTTTACTTGAATTCATTTGTGTGTATGTATGTGTATGTGTGTGTATTAGTTCTGTACAGTTGTATCAAATGTGTGGATTTGTATGACCATAGTTAAAATACTGAACAGATTGAGTCTTTTTTGCTGCCTCTCCTTCCACACCATACTAACCCATGCCAATTATTAATCTGCTTTACATTTCTAAAATTTTGCCACTTGGAAAATGCTATGTGAATGGAATCATAAAATATATGTAACTTTGGGATAGAATGATCAGCTGTAAATTCCTTTAAGCTGTTGTTTGTATCAATAGCATATTCCTTTTTAACTGCTGAGCAGTATTCCATACCACTGTTTGTTTTAGCCTTCACTCCTTGAATGACATCTTGGCTATCTCTAATTTTGGACTTTTACAAGTAAGCTGCTATAAACATTCATTTATAGGTTATTGTGAAGAGTTTTCATTTCTCTGGGTCAACTTCTTCAAGGGCTCAATAGATATTTCATTGTACTCTTTTTTTTTTTTTGCCAGTCCTGGGGCTTGAACTCACTCCTTGAGCCTCTTTGTGCTCAAGACTAGTGCTCTACCATTTGAGCCACAGTGCTACTTCTTGCTTTTTCTGAGTAGTTTATTGGAGGTAAGAGTTTCATGTCCAGACTGGCTTTGAACCACAGTCCTTAGATCTCAGCCTTCTTTTTTTTTGTTTTTTTGTCGGTCGTGGGGCTTGAACTCTGGGCCTGAGTGCTGTCCCTCAGCTCTTCAGCTCAAGGCGAGCGCTCTACCACTTGAGCTTGAGCTACAGCACCACTTCTTCAGTCTTCTTAATAGGTAGGATTGCAGGCGTGAGCCACTGGTGCTCTTAAACAGTGGTTCAATTGCAGTTGTAATGGTATTTACATATTTATGATAATTGCCCATTTAATTTAGAAGATGCTTTTCAAGTACTGGCAGCAATATATGAGTGATTCAGTTTCTCCACATCCTTGCCAGTTACAAATTGGCAATAGTGTCAGTGTATTAGGATATTTTTAGCCATTCTGATAGGAATGTAGTAATGCCTCTTTGTGGTTCTTATTTGCATTTCCTTAAAAGATGATTGGGTGTATAGCTTCTCATGTGCTGATTTGCCATCTCTATATTCTCTTTAGGGAAATATGTTTCTGGTGTGTGTTTGTGTGTGTGTGTGTGTGTGTGTGTGTGTGTGTGTGTGTGTGTGTGTGTGCTGGTCCTGGCACTTGAACTCAATTGAACTACCATTTGAGCCACAACTCCACTTTAAGTTTTTGTGGTGCTTAATTGTATGCTTAACTCGAGATTAGAGTCCCAAGGACTTTCCTGCCTGGATTGTCTTTGAACCAGTATCCTCATATCTCAGTCTCCTGAGTAGCTAGGATTACAGGCATGAGCCACCGGCGTTCAGTTATTTCTTTTGAGAAAGTATCTTGATATATAAACCAAACTAGCCTCCTACCGTCTCCTACTTCCTTTCCCTGTGTGAATTCAAGGCTATATATTCCCCCCCTCTCTTTTTCTTTCTTTCTTTCTTTTGCTTTCTCTCTCCCTCTCTCTCTCTCCCTCTCTCTCTCTTTCTTTCTTTCTTTTTTTCATTTTTGGTCATTCGTGGGGCTTGAACTTGGCTTGGGCACTGTCCCTCAGCTCTTCAGCTCAAGGC